CATGATTACTTTTTTATATAAGAGGATCCACTCTCTTTCGACCCAACTCAGTTCAATGCACATGTTTGGCACGTGCGAAAGGTTTTGAAGGCTAAAAAATTATGTGTCACCTAACCGGCTAACCCTTGATTATAAGGCTTTGAGTAGATACCCTTTTTGGTCCCTAACAAAAAATACGGTCTCCACTTTAGTCCCTTACAAAAATAAATTAGTCAGTTAGTCCCTAACAAATTCAAAGTGGACCCATTTAGTTGAAATTATGGTCCCTCACAAATTCAAAAAAGACCCATAAACTAAAATGGGTCCACTTTGAATTTGTTAGGGACTAACTGACTATTTTATTTTTATAAGAGACTAAAGTGGGAACCGCATTTTTTGTTAGGGACCCAAAAAGATATTTACTCTTAAGCTTTTTTATGAATCAATGAAAAGTTGAAAGCATTGCATGTACGAAGCTTTATGGTATGCAAGCTTTTACTTTCTTTTTTTATTTCTCAAAAGGTGATGTGATAGGTAAAATTTATTTTTCTCAATTTAATGATAAGCTATTTCTCTCATTTGATATATTCTATAAGGGAAATGCATTTAGAAATCAAATTGTTTATCATGTTAAACAAAAAAGACAAGATCAATTTATTGAATAAAGTATTCTCTCATTTTTTTTAATATTATATATTTTGTCTTTTTTTTAACATGACAAAAAATTTGATTCCTACAACATAAATGATATAATCCCCATTCTATAAACACACAAATATAATGAATTATAAGCCACTAGGGCTAGCCTAATACTGAGGGAGGTGGGTAGTTAGTGAGTAATAGATATTGTGTTCGATTCCCAATATATATATATATATATATATATATATATATATATATAGCAGGATCTTTTGACACCGGTGTCAAATTTGAAGTTTGACACCCTCATCTGAGAGCCGTTAGATCAAAAAAGATCAATGGCTCTGATTTGTAAGCATGTGACACCATTGATCTTTTTTGATCTAACAGCTCTCAGATGAGGTGTCAAACTTCAAATTTGACACCAGTGTCAAAGGATCCTGCCTCTCTCTCTCTATATATATAATATATATATAGGGGAATGATATTGTAACAATCAATTAATGTTACTTCTAATGTTATTACCAATCAATTTCACCGTTAAATCGATTATATTGATCCAACGGTTATATTTATTTCCATCTTTGTATGATTATGATTCTCCATATTTAATGTGAAAACATTAAATATGGTTGTTGCAATATCTTTTCCATATATATATATATATATATATATATATATATATATGGGAAGAATATTGTAACAATCAATTAATGTTACTACCAATCAATTTCACCGTTAGATCGATTATGTTGATCAAACGGTTATATTTATTTTCATTTTTGTATGGTTATGATTCCCCATATTTAATGTGAAAATATTAAATATGGTTGTTGCAATATCTTTCCCCTATATATATATGTACATAAGGTAAAATATTTCTACAGCTACTTTAGATAACATTATCTACAACTACCTTTTTTAACTAAGTCTGACCAGTAAGATATAGTTATAACAATAAACCTATTCTTTTTTTCTCTCTCCTCACATGTTGTCGAGAGAAAAAATGCAACTTTTATATCTTACTGGTCAGACTTTGTTAAAAAGGGTAGCCGTAGATAACCTTATCTAAAGCAGTGTTTAAAAACCCGGTCCGGCTATTGACTCGGCTAAGGTCAGGGGTCACGGAGTCATGGTTTAATCGGGAGGTCACGGGGTCACTTCGCTGACCCGATTTTATACATTAAAAAAAATATAAATATATGTTCTATATGAAAAATTCAAAAAAATAAAATCACCAATCATTAAAGATTCAAAATATACTTAACATAATTCAATCAATTACATCTACAAGTCAATATTCACAAGCTAATTAAAGTATAAAACATATATTCCAATGGAGTTAATGAAAAGTTATATCATCAAACTCATACCCTTCTTGTCCTTCTCATGCACCAACAACAGTATGTGAAAGGAAATCCCTTACCAAATAGAGAATAACGGAGGAGAGGCAACGAAACGACAAATTAACTGTGAGAGAGAAGAACCAGCACAGTGGAGGAGATAATCGGAACAAGGAGACTGGGTTTGGGTCTGGGAGAAAAGATGGGAAGAGAAGAAGAAGAACGATTCAGATTTCAGATCTAGTTCTAAATCTAACAGCAACGAGTTTTTGTTTTCTTTTTTCTTACACATCAAATGACATCATTTTGTGTGTAATTTTTTTTTTTTTAAAAAAAAATGCAGTGACCCCTTTGACCCTTGTGATCGGGGAGTCATGAGTTTAACCGGGGGTTTCGGAGGGTTAGAGGGGTCAACGTGCAAATATGGTCTAACTACTAACTCGAACCCTTAGAGAGGGGGGGTCAGTGACCTGAGGGACCGACCCCAAGGTGGGGCAGAGTTTTAAAACACTGATCTAAAATGACTGTGGAAATATTTAACCATTATATATATATATATATATATATATATATATATATATACACACATTGAGAATCGAACACAACATCTATTACTAACTAGTCACCTGTGAAACACGGACTCGCTATTTTCTTTGAATTGTGCGTGTCGGACACGTGTCGGACACGGACACGCTCGGACACGCGGTCAATATTTTGGGATACGTGGTCAACGCTCGGACACGCTCCGACACATTTTTTCGATGCGCAGTCAACTTTTTCGGACACGTAGTCAACGCTCGGACACGTTTTTTTTAATCTTAATTTTATTAACTAAAAATAAAATAAATTATTTATAAATAAATTTTTTTCTGTTTTTAAATTTGACATGAAAAATTAACAAGGTACGAAAATTATTTTTGTTTATATTTATGTTATGAAATTTGAATATTTGATTGGTTATATGACTTATTATGGACTGTTATATCTATTAAATATAAATTATATTATATATATTAAAAATATTATTTAATATCAAAAGGTGTCCCAACGTGTTGAAATATGTCATTTTTTAGAATTGACGTATCGGCGTGTCGTGTCCCGTGTCAGTGTCCGTGTATCATAGCTAGTCACTACCCACCCCTGTCATAGTTAGGCTAGCTCCAATGGCTTATAATTCATTATATTTGTATGTTTATAGAATAGGGATTATATCTCTTATGTTATAGGAATCAAATTTTTTGTTATGTTAAAAATAGAGGACAAAGTATATAATATTAAAAAAAGTGAGAAAACACTTTATTTAATGAATTAGTCTTGTCTTTATTTTAACATGATAAAAAATTTGATTCCTACAATATAATAGATACATTTCCCTTACATAATATATCAAATGAGAGAAATAGCTTATCATTAAATTGAGAAAAATAAATTTTACCTATCACATTACCTTTTGAGAAAGAAAAAAAAGAAAGTAAAAGCTTGCATACCATAAAGCTTCGTACATGCAATGCTTTCAACTATTCATTGATTTAAAAAGCCTTATAATCAAGGGTTAGCCGGTTAGGTCATACATATATATATATATATATATATATATATATATATATATAGGGGTTTGTTTTTCTCATGTTGCATGAGAAAACAAATCCTTCCTACACATACCATAAAAAGGTGTGCCACTCATTTTTTTATTTTTTTAAATAGGTGGGTCCCACATTTAACGTATCTATGACATGAGATTTGAATTCTCCTACAACATAAGATTTACTTTTCCTATATATATATATATATATATATATATATATATATATATATATATATATTTTTTTTTTTTTTTTTTTTGACCGAACACATTATATTTTGGAAAAAAATATATCGTAATTGGTTAAAGTAAATTAAGCTTATTAAGATTCTAGTTATTTATACTTTTACTTATTCAAAGTAGAAAAAATTAATTTTAAAGAAAAAATACTGTGTTATCATTTTTTTTTTTTTTTTGGAGTTACCCAACCCTAATTATCTCTTTGAGACGAGTTGGCTCCCTCCGGTATCCCCACGAGCTTCGACTCTTTGAGCCGTCTATGAGACTAATCCGGAGTGCGGGGGAACAGTGATGGCTAAAGGATACTGTGTTATCATTAAATAGAAAATTAATATAATTTGTAATTAATTCAATTTAAAAATTTTATATTAGAATATGTAATAATATTTAATATATTTATAACTTATTCATTAAATAAATAATAAGTACAGTAAAAAATAAAAAATAAATATAATTGTAAAATAAAAAATTAATATACAATTTAAAGATATATAATGCGTATGAATTGAAGACGTCATATTTTTTTTAGAGTAAACTACCTTTTGAGTCCTCAACAAAAATCACGGAACCCATTTTAATATCTTAGAAAAAAAATCAACTTATTATCCTTTTGAAATTCAAAGAAGACCTACGTTAGTCTCTCAAAAAGACTAAAATAGGTCTATTTTAAATTTTAGAAGGATTACGAGTCAATTTTTTTTTCCTATAGGATTAAATTGAACTCAGTAATATTTATTGAGAACCCAAAATATACTTTACTCTATTTTTTACATACTAATTTGATAATTAATATGTTATAAATTCTGTATAGTTTTTAATTAAATTTTATATTTTTATTAATTTATATGGTGTATTTTAAATTTTCAATAAATTTATTTAAATTAAATATCATCACCTAATCTTAATATAAATCTAATAATAAAAATTAGATAATATTAATAAAATTAATAATAAAGTAAATTCTTCATCAGCATTATAATTTATAAAACACTAATATATTTTTTCATCAAAACAAAACTGGTATTTTTTTTCGTCATTAAATAATATACTCAAATGCTAACGATTTTTAATTACTTTTAAAAGAAAATTATGGGATATCATTCCCTAAAATAAAATATGGAGCTTGTGAACCTCCACGTGAGGGGGTGAAGATTAAGAGTCCACATTAGACTTTGCTTCAAATTAAAACATAGAAACATTTCTACATAGAGGTCCCATGAAAGAGTTGAAACTACCAGACATTGAAACCTCAGTATCAACAGAAAAATACCAATAGATTTTGATATTACTACCTGAGTTCCATTTACATGATGCATCCCCGAATTTGTCACCAAACTATAAACACTACACAATCCTTTCCTTCAAACAGACACTACTATGACAAAATCTGATCAAATTTCTCAGCTACACAAACCAAATGTTTTCTCTCACATTCAAGAGCTGCACAAACTAGTACAAATTTCAAACTTCATACAGGATTTTCACCAGGAAGATAAGAAGGAGATCCACCCTCAATCTGGTTTTTCTTCCTGTGGAAGATACCACTAATATTAGGCAACAGAACTTTCTTTGAAACTGAAACCTTCTCTTTTTCTAACTTCCTCACCTCCACTGTTGAATGAGTAAGAGGAGGATTCTGCTTTTGAATTCTATAGTGCTGAGGAGATGATTCTAATGACACCTGTGTTTCAGCTAATATCCGCGATGCAGCTTCAGCTGCCTTCTTCTGCTCGCGCTCTCGCCACCTTCGAAGCTCACTCTCCACTGCCCTCTTTGCTGCTTCAGCCATCTCAGCCTTTTTCAATGCCTCCTGTGTTGCAGTCTTCATATCCTCGATCTCCTTCTGAGTAGTCTCTAACCTTTTGAGAGCCTCATTTTCACTAGCCTTCACTGCTTCAACCTGTGCCTTCGCAGCAGCCACTTTCATGTCAGTTAGTTTATCAGACTCCTCAACTTTCCGACTTAGCGACTCAAACTCCTCCTTTGAGATTGCAATTTTAGCACCATGTTCAGACGTCGATGCACGTGCAGCCGTAGTCCTTTCAGTTAACACGGTAATCTGGTCAAGAGCGCTTGCCTCAGCTGCTTTTGCTGCCTCTGCTTCTTCCAGTGCTACTTGGAGCTTTTTCTCAGCATCTTCTAATGCAAGCATGGTAACTTCAGCTTCCTTCTTCAATTCTGCTGTCTTGTTCTCCATGTCTTCTGCTTCCCGCCGTGCATTTTCAGCTTCAGATGTCAGCTGGCTCAGCGTCAAGATCATTTCCTCAGATGCACCTCTAACTTTAAATTCTTCTGCCAAACAAGCTTCAAGTTCAGACTTACTTTTGCGGAGCTTGACATGCAGATTCCCAACAATGGATTCAGTTTCAGATTCTTTCTCCTTCAATTCAGAATGTTCTCTCTTTACATTCTCTAGTTCCACCTTCAGAGTTTCCACCAAGCTTCTAAGAGAGCTTTCTTCATCTGCAACTTTCTGCAGTGACTCCTTAGCATCATCAAGCTCAAAAGTGACACTTTTCACAACGTCCAAGTCTGACGTCCTTTTATTTTCCAATTCCTTTTGCAGAACCCCAATTTCATTCACTGTCTCAGCTAGCTGCACTTCAAGATTTTTGGTGAGCTCAGGATTGAATTCCTTCTTTAAAGCGAGCAAGTTTTTTTCGGATTGTTCAAGGGTAGCTTTATATGATTGTCTTAGAACATCTTTATCAGCTAATATCATTGCTTGCTGTTGCTGTGATTCAATAGATGCAAGCTTTGCTTGCTCAATTGACTCCTTTACAGCTGAAATTTCTTTAGACAGCTCAGATGCTCTTTCTGTGTTTTCCTTCATTGCATCTTCAGCTTCAGTTGCTTGGTTGAAAGCAGACAGTCTTGCATCCAAGGATGAATCACGCTCCTGACGAATCTTCCTCAGCTCTTGCTTTGCAGCATCCAGTTCTGTTATGACAGACGCATAACTCTTAACTGCAGATTCTAACTCTTCTTTCCAAGCACCATTTGTTACATCAAGGACGTCATACTTTTCTCCTGTAAGTTGTTTAGCCTGACTCTTGGCAGCTTCTGTTGCCTTGATTGCTAACTCCCTTGATTCACTAATAACTTTTAGCTTTTGCGTCAGATCATCAACTGTCCTTTGGGCCCTTTCAAGCTCCACAAGGGCTTGAGCCTTGGTAGTTTCAGCATTCTTTACTTGCTCCTTTAACTTGTTCAGTTCTTTTTGGGCTACATGAAGTTGTGTCTCCTTGGCCAAAACTCTCTAGTAAAAGAATAAACTTGTAAATTTCAAAATGAAAAAGACAAAATACATTTAAAGCTAACTTTGAAAGAAGGAAAGTAAAATAATAACCAGATAACCTAGTTTAGTGGTTAGAAGTTAGAACAACTTCTGTAATAAGAACAGCTTAAGTTTTGTCGTGTCCAATCAAACTGATACAGCTCGGGATTCTTTAGGGATTAAAACTTGCAGAACAGAAAGGAAGAATTAAAGGAAAATGATAAAACAAAAATATGTTTTATTGATGAGAAAAACCAATGAGCATACAAGAGACACTTCTCTTGCCAAGGGACAATATCTTTCTCACTGAGCACTCTCAGTCATACAACGAATCTGTCAAAAACATGACTATCACGAGGGATTGTCTCCCTTATATACATGTTCTGTGCCTCCCTGTTTCCCTTGAAAATCACAAACTATGTAACTACCTCCTAAATGCTCTGACCCTCCTAATTAATATCTGTTACTAACCTAACAGTTGCTTGGGTATATTTTCCCAAGTCCCATATAAGTCGTAACACCGATTCCTATGGTAATTGATTATCAAACATGGCGGATATAGTTTTAGTGTTTTACAAAATGTTGGATGGAAGATGCAATGTTGTCCACTGAAACTTGTACCAGTCCCTTCACATGCATAAGAATTCCCTCTTAAATGATGGACAATGCATCATCTTTTACTCAGATCTTTAAAATAAACTGAACAAAAACAAAGTATACCAACGTGGCTTTAATATCTTTCAACCAAGAACATTGACGAGACACCCCTGAAATCTTGGTCCTGTTTGGATACTGTTTCTACAATAGTTTTTTGATTTTCAGAACAAAAAAATAAAAAATAAAAACGCGTTTGATAAGACCTGTTTTGTAAAAAAAAATTAAAATTGTAACTTTTTAAAAAAAAAAAAAATCAAATTTAAAGAACATGTCTGAGTTGTTTTTGTTGTGTTTTGACTTTTAACTTTCAAAACAAAAAAAAACTATTCTACAAAACAGTTTGAAGAACAAAAAAACCAGAACACAATCAAACAGATCCCTTGTTTCTGATTCTCAAAACCTATATAATAAATGCACACAATTTTGTACACAGCACAGACCTTTTTAGGAACCTGATTTATCCTCCATGCCATTCACAACTCCAAAATAGTCAAATTCAGAATGATCATTGTTTAAATAAAAGCTAAAAAATCTTGAAAAAGCTATCAGAAGAGTCAAAGTAACTAAAACTAAAAAGTTATTGCTAACAAGACGAGATTTGCAAGATGTATAACAACACAAAAATCATATGTACTATCATACAGAACAAACGGTTCAATTTGTAAAAAGACGCACAAGGTGTTCTCTCTCTCTCTCTCTCTCTCTCTCTCTCTCTCTCTCTGTATATATACAGGGGCAAGATCTTTTGACACTAAATCCTAACTGTTGATTTCTGCCAATCTGACGGTTATAATTTATTGGGAATGAATAATTAATTAAAAAATATGACCCAATAAATTATAGCCGTCAGATTGGCGGAAATCAACGGTTAGGATTTGGTATCAAACTTTTTAATTTGACACTGGTGTCAAAGTATCCTTTGTCATATATATTATAACCGTCAGATTGGCGGAAATCAACGGTTAGGATTTGGTGTCAAACTTTTTAATTTGACACCATGTCAAACTTTTTAATTTGACACTGGTGTCAAATTAAAAAGTTTGACACCAAATCCTAACCGTTGATTTCCGCCAATCTGACGGTTATAATTTATTGGGTCACACTTTTTAATTAATTATTCATTCGCAATAAATTATAACTGTCAAAGTGATTAAATGTGATTAAAAGTAGAAATTCAATATAGAAAGATAGATACAAAGGTAGTAAAAGTGATTAAAAGGGGAAATTCAATATGATTTATTAAATGCATAAGGATGACACGATGGGGAATATTGAGAAGGTTCATGCTAATGGGCTGCAGCATAACTGAATGTTGATGTGGCAGTAAGAAGAAGGGGACAGGAATGGTTTGAGGAGTGACAATCTATACATAAGGGTAAGAAAAAGAGATTTAGCCATGAATTGAGGAAAGTTTTGGGGCCTTTAGGCAGGGAGGTTTGTAGACCTTTGAAGTCTGTTCTATCATTTCTATTTCTGTTTTTGATCGAGTTTCTCCATAGATAGTGAGAAAGTGGGAGGTATACACTTGCATACAGAACCTTCTGGAACTGATACCATATCTGTATCAGTACAGAGAAAACCTCGGGATTTATTTGATAAAAAACTGTCTGCATTTTCTAGTCCTATTATAAGCAGAAGAAGTTTAACATTGTTATCAGAGTAAGACAGCCTCCTTGCAAAATGGGAAGAAACTCAAGGCAATATAATAGTGTAAAGCTTTTATTAAGTAAACTAGGTAACTATCTACTCCAAAGCATACTATTAATCCTTCATAGAGTTAAAGTATTTCTTATTAAAGGGTTAAATAGAGTAACTTGAAAATCATGCAAGGATTACACTAAAGTTACCCTGCCATTAAATTTACAGGATACACTATGCAACTCTCAGATATAGTTTTGCAACACCACAAGGGATATGTAGTTGAGAAAACCTACAAATACAAAAATGACAATTACCTCAGCAGAATAAGGTTTTGCCTTCTTAAGGATAGGTTTTTCACCAGACCCAGAGAAAGCACCTTCACCAAATAGAGAGACAGCATCTTTAACAGACTGAAAAGGTGGGCTGGTGTCAATCTCTCCAACCTCTGGTTTTGGATTAGGAGAGTCAGTGGCACTTTGCCGGATCTTAGCTACCATTGTGTGTTGTATCTAAATTTTATGGACTTCGAAGCCAACCTGTTATTAACAATGTGTTATAAGAAAGAAAAAAAATAAAAGTATTCTCATCATAAACCAGTAAACTATACATATCAAACTCAAAACAATCTCATATTTCAGAAATCTCTTTTCAAAGATACAGGAAGAACATTACAAAGTAAGTTCAAGAAACAAAAATCCAGATACCAAATACCCTTTCACATTGACTTTGTGGTGGACAGAGAATCATTCTCCCCACGAAGGGCATAAAACTGATTGCTGTGCAGTGTCAATAAAGATATGATATGACCCTAAAATCAGTAATACTAATGGCCCTTGGGTCCATTGACACAGTAAGATTCTCTCTCAAAGTACTTTTAACCTATCAATAGCTTAATATGTATTTAATTTCCCATGACTCCAGAATATCTTCCATCAAGTAAAGAACCTTTAAAAACAACATATTCCTCCCAAAACTTCTATCCACACAACACCACCATCAATGTATAAACCCACCAAAGAATTAATTATACAGCAGCTCTAATCATGCATATTAAGAGTCCATTTACAGAACCCATTCTTTAAAATGAATAGAAAAGTTCAGGAGCTTTCTGCTGAGCAAATAGGTCTCAAACACAAAATCCAAAAATTGCAGGCAATTCAAATTTGGCATGTAAATATAGTACCAAGTCACTTGAAATTCCACTCTCTATTTTGATGCCAAAGGCTTTTCAGTTCAAACTTCAAAGTACTATATTCAGAACAAAAAGAACACCAATTAATTAAAAAAATAAATATTCAAAAATGTTGAATTTTAATTTTTTTTTTAATTTGAAAATAATTTTTTTGACACTCACAAGTCACAAACCACACGGCAGAGTGAAGAACACTGCAAATTGGAAGTCCCTCAGCGTGAAAAACATGTCGGTCAAAACGACCCGAAAACGACAGAAAAAAAAAAAAAACATCACCGAAACCGCTAACAGCGCTAGAATTGAAACGACAACCAACAAAGCAAAACGAAAGCAAAAAGGTAAAAGAACGACAACAAGAAAAGAACCTGAAAGTAGCTTGTTTACACAATCCAACAGAAACCCACCAAAGAAAACCCAAAATACTCCAAAACCCAGAATCGCAAAACCGATTAAGTTTTCAGCTTTCACCGAATCCACAAGAAAATTCGTCCAAAAACAAAACAACAAAAACTCACCTTCCGAGGCCCCTCTCCACAAAGCTGATTCTTGAAAAATTCTCAAGATACTAGGAAAATCCCTGGTATTGAATCTCTAGAGAGAGAGTGTGTGTGTTTGATTTAGTGAGAGAAAGTGATGGGTGGGTTTGAAAATCATAAAGCTGTTCAAGACAAAATTTTTTGTATCAGGAACAAGTCAGGTCCTGAGAGATGAGAGCGCAAAATCCCCTGCATCCGTTTCTATTTTAAAATCCCCTGTTCTTGCTCCATAGTGTTTTACTCTATGAACTTTGGTGCATTCTATTTTAATGAAATGACGTTCATGTCCTTAGTATACAATGCTTATGAACAGTAATTGGAGGGGCGTAGAGGGGAAAATTTTTTGGAACAAGAGTGGGTTTGCCACGTCATCAGTGGCACCATTCAAGAAAACACTTGCGGGTGACGACGACCATAAACAAGAAAATGAAAAAGACGTTAGACAACAAAAAGGTAAGTCCCATTTTCTCACCAATAATTGCGAAAGAAACAAATGTTAGCAAATGAAAACTAGAAGAAAATGAATTAACCTCTTCCAAAGTAAATAAAATAAAATAAAATTCTTACATACATTAGTTTTAGAAATTTATTTTCTCTGTGACATGTGATACTTTAATAAACTATATTATTTACAAAGATAATATTAAAACTGTAATCTCACATAATCTAATGTGGCAAATTATTGATTGAAGAGATATCGAGGAGGACCATTAATATTTTAATTGTTTTGCGAAAGTAGACAAAATGAGCATTGGCGAGTTGTTAAATTTTTCTTTATTAAAACCTTGTATTCTTTTGGATTTGGGGTTATTTGGAGGCCGAAAGCTTCACATGATGGCATGTATAATTGTATATACAATTCATGCATCGCTTTATGATATTTGACAGTACTATCGTGGGGTTTGGATAGGGTCCGATTGACCTACAATTGGATTTTAGGTGACACTGGATCTATTGTTATTTGCAGTTCCATTATTATTATTGTATTTTTCCCCCACCTCGTTATCATGAGAGGCGGATGTCCTAAAAAATAATAAATATTATATCATAAAAATTTATATTAAGGAATAAAAATTGTAATATATATATATATATATATATATATATATAGGAAAAAGTGTTTATCATTTTAAATGACATAAAGTTATGTCATCTTAAGAGAGAGATGGACCCAAAATAATATTTTTTTATTTAAAATTTAAATTAAAAAAATCCACTCACTTTCTTCCCATGATTTCAATTTCTTGTATCTATTTCTGTCTTAAAATGACATAACTTATATCATTTAAAATGATAAATACTTTTACATATACATATATATATATATATATATATATATTTGAAGGATCATGATCATTTTACACCAGTGTAAGTTACACTTTCAATCTTGACCATTAATCTCACTTATATCTAAGGGCTCTAATTTTTTAGTAATGTTAGCCATTGGATATAAGTGGATCAATGCTCAAGATTGAGTATAAGACTTCTAATTCTTACACTGGTATAAGAATATCCTGCCCTATATTTGAATGATGTATTGTACAAGTGTACTTATGCTTCATTGTAAATGCTAAATTATGTAGATATATAACAAAGGGAAATTATAATATCTCTCATCATGAGATGTAATTAATTGCATGTAATTAGGTAATTAATCTTGTATTAGTGGGTTAAATTAGGTAAAATATCTAATTAAATGACTTAGAGTCACTTTTGCGGTGAAAAGTATAGTAAGTGAAAATTATGAGATAAAAATGTGTGTAGACAAAAGTACCCAAAATATAAAAGTAAAGGTAAAAATATTCCTAGAAAAATATTCCAGACCGTTGGGTAAAGTTTGAAAGAGAATGGAGTTAACTAGATAGATGAACTTATACTCGGTTAAGATAGCTTAACTTATGATAAGTGAAAAAAGACACAATCCAATCTCATTTCTTCTTCTTCTTCCAGCGACACACACCGTGAAGGAGAGGGTGAGAAGCCATGGTTGTCAGCTCCAAACCATAACTCATCCATTTCTTACTCAAATCCTTCAATTCCAAAGCCTAAACCACTTCAAATTTTTCCCTCGTCCTTAATCCTAGCTTATTTTTGAGTGGGAGCCATTGTGGAGTGAGATATTCTTGGTGGGAGGGGTGAAAATTTGGAGATAGTGGAGCTAGAGGTGAAGTTTTGGTTCCTTGAGCTTGGTGCCTCTTCCTTACACCTTTGGGGTTGTATTTGTGGTAAGAATTCCAACTCTTGTTGTCATTTTGGAAGATACGTGCATTATGGTTTTGTTTTAGGTAAATGCATGAATAATGAGGTATGTTAGAGAGATTGAAGTTAAATTCCTTTGTAAAAGTTGTTAGAAATGATATATAAACGGTAGAAACGGACTTAGATTGTCGTTTGTTTGTTGCTCAATATATTGAAAAAATTCATGTTTGGACATGTGTAGTTTCTTGTATTGTTAAGCCATGGTTTGGTTGGATATTATTGTGTCCATGTGATGGCTAGGATTGAGGCAATTGGATCATTCTTGAGTGACCAACTATTGAAGGAAGCTATAGAGCTTGATTAGCTCATTTGGATAGGTAAGTTAATGCCAAGTTATGGTGTGGAATTGTTGTTTTGTTGATGAATATGTTGATATTCATTAACTTGTATTGATTGATTGTGTGACACCTTGGATTAGGTGTGTATTTTGCAAAGTTGTAGCTTGAATTCAGAGTTTGATTAGTCGCAAACTTGTTGGTGAACAAAGGTTGAATTGGAGCATTAAGGTAAGCCTTCGGACCTTGGGTGTAAATCCTTTTATTGTTCCACCAAGCTTTGAATGGGTAGTGGTTGTTGATAGTGTATGTAAATGCAATAAAGTAGTTTAATGCTTTGTTAGACGTATGTGTATGCTTTGGGTGTAGCATAGGATGATGTTTCTCTATGTTTGTATGTTGCATGACGATGCGTAAATCATACTTGGTAGATTCTCTGATCAGTAGGACTATTTGCATCTGAGTATCCTTAGGACAGCAAGAGCTCGAGGGATGTCTCCAGGAGATATTTTACACACTGCATGGATATGTATTTACTGCATTATTACTGTTGTTGCTATTATACTATGAAGTGAACTATGGGGTGGAGAGATGCTCCAAGGACCCCTGATTTACTGAGATGTATTCGTATATCTCACCCCGTGTTGTGGGGACCACCTTTCAGGTACAGATGTTGCAGGAGCCTCTAGTGAAAAATGGCCATATTTGGACTAGATGGTCTTATATTGATAGCCTGTTATTTTGGATTGCATCTCATTTAGGATTGTAGATGTATATGTCATTTACATTGGCACATGTATATGTATATTTTGAGGCCACATGATGTATTTTGGGGGACTTAGTGCATGATCTTTGGGGTGGTGAATACCTTCTTGTATATGGCTAATAGCTTTGATCATGTTCATTTTGTAGCTCAGTCCTTTGTTATGTATATGAAATTTGGAAGAACATTGATGTAATTAAGACTTTGATGTATTGATGAATATATAGTTATGTTATTGTTTTGAATTGCATGATGAATTGGTAAAGTGTTTATGGGATGTAGGTGCCACATGGTGTGTGACCATAGTTGGCCTTTTCTTGTCAATTAGGTGTGATAACCCTTGAAGAATGAAATGGGAATGAAGTTTCCCCAAGAAACTCTCCAAAAATAGGGGAGACCAAGTTTGTCCCAGGTGTAGGGTGCTCAAGCGGTGATTTGGGCACTCAAGCACGCTATATGTGTGAAATATAGTGAAATCCACTGCCTCTTGGCGCTTAAGCGCCTAGTAGGGATCTCAAGCGTGCTAGTGCGCGCCTAAGCGCATTGAAAAACCTGAAGATGGCAAAATTTGCTGTCGTTGGGCGCTCGAGCGCCCAGTTGAGCACTCGAGCGCGCATTCCGAAAACAACATGAACATAGTTTAATAAAATGGACATAACTCGAGCTACAGATCTCCGACTTGAGCGCGGTTTGAACCCACGCGAAGCTAACAAAGAGATCTATAACAAAGTATGAGATGAGAACTATTAAGGAATTATATGATTTCTAATTTAATAAAAAGTGAAGAGAGTTTAGTATTAAACTTGAACAAAATAAGAGTATGATGTTAAGCTTAAGTTTCATTTATTCCGCAATGTCCTACAATTATTGTCACACGATTGGTTATTTTAAATTCGGGTTATTAAAAAGGAAAATAAGTAAGTTTTAAAAAAGAAAAAGAAAAATCTATCCAGATTTTTAATTGAACCAATGTGTTTGTAACTGCGCATAATATCATAATGTATTGTTAACAAACCGGTTCTAGAACGGGGTGTTACATAAATCATATTCTTATGTTACATGAGATTAGTTTCTTATGTTATACTTACATCAAATAACATGTCATTCCTTTTTCTTTTTTAAATTGGCGGGTCCCACTTTATTTGTGTCAGTAGAATATAGAACTTCTCACCTACTGCATGAGAAAAGTAATCCCCTATAACGAATTAAACGTCATCCTTGCTTGTCATCAACAATGGCAAATTTTTTTTAAAATATTGTTACTTTAATAAAAAAAAATTACAAAAATATAATAGTTTGAAATTAATTTACGGATTTATGCATTCAGTTGCGAAACTAATTAAATGTTATTCTCGCACAGGCGTAATCTGTGCAAAGTCGCGCCCCACTTAGGTGCAACTTGTCCGATAATAACATGTGGCACAAAAAAGTCAATAGTTTGACCATAAAACTTCGGAAGGCTATAATTTTAGACTCATGTATTCGAAGTAGGTATTTTTTTTGTTTCATATAACTTTTCGAGATATAAGTAATGACATCTTATTGAAGAGGATTCGGTCAAAAAAATCAACAATATCATAATTAATTATTATAATTTTTCAATTTTTTAACTATTATTTTAAATTAAACATTTCATATATTTTATGTAATAATTAATATTAGAATTTTAATATAAATTAATTTAACAAATAAAAATTAATTAAAAAATTCAAATAAATATTTTTAAACTTTAATTATATAAATGAAATTAACATATCAACTCAAATAGCTTGCCACTCATACAAAATCAACTTAAAAAAATTAATTTATCAACTTAAATTATACTTAATTCTATCACTGTCCGATGGCCCGCGATAATCTTATCCTCGGGCATGAATTGATGTACCCTCAATAAAACAACATCCAGTGTGCCTGCATGTTCAATGGCTTAAATCGATTAAACAACTTAAATTGATAACTATATAGCTAGAGCTAGTGCAAGTAAAAATGAAAAAACGATGTTGCGCTCTTTAGATAAGAATTAAATATGCAAACCAAACATTGTTGAAACTTAACAGCACAACATACAATGGTCATTTATAAAGAATGATGATTTATAAAGAATAATGATTTCACGTGTAATTTTCAAAAAGTTATATAGAATAAAAAAATATGTGATTTAGATATTTGAGTCAAAAAATTTGGCCTTCTGAAAATTTACAGTAAAATATCTCAAATTCAAAAGAAAAATTAGAATTTTTTTTGACCAAATTTCCTTCAATGAGATGTTATTACGTAAATATCGAAAAATTGTGTAAAATAAAAAAACCCTATTTCAGACACTGAGTCAAAAATTATGACCTTTCAAAATTTTACGATCAAACTATTGATCTTTTTGTGCCATGTGTCATCACAGATGAGTTGCGCCTGTATGAGACACGACTTTATACAGGTTGCACCCGTGTGAGGTGCAACTTGTTGTGTTTTTGTGGAAAGAAATTAAATGCAATAGATCTACAAATTGATTTCCAACTAGTCATGTTTTTGTAAATTTTTATTAAAATAACAATATTTTTAATTTTTTTCCCCCATCAACTACCATAGTTAGAAGAGTCAGTGTTTTAAAACCTCACTCTGCCCCCCGGATTGACCCGCGTCAACCCTGACCCCTTCCCTCTGAGAGTTGGGGTCACAAGTTGGACGCTATATGCACATCGACCCCTCCGATCCTCAAAATCCGGCTGGGTTTCAGTGACTCCCGGGTCAGAGGAGTCAAAGGGGTCACTGCATGTTTTTTTTTTTTTTTTTAAATTCCATGAAACAACATCGTTTTATTAAAAAATAAAAATAAAAATAAAAATACTTACAAACCTAAATCTAATCGTTCTCTTCTCTCCTACTGACTTAAACGTCTTCAATCTTCACCTCGCTGCCGTGAATATTTTAGAAAAGGTAAAAATTTTACCCATTCAAATGAAATCCTTACGGTCGTCGATGGAAAACAAAAACTCATTCTTACTTCCTTTAAATTTTCCTTTGTCAGAGACCTTCTCAAAAGAAACAGAACCGGGTCAGCATAGTGACTCCATTAGAATATGACTTTTGTACTTTGGCATCTTCATACTTTAATTAGGTTGTGTAATATTAACTTGTGGTTGTAATTAGTGAATTATGTTAACTATATTTTGAATCTTTGATGATTGGTGGTTTGTTTTTTAATATTTTCATATAGGATATATATATTTATATTTTTTTAATATATAAAACCGGATCAGCGTAGTGATCCCGTGACCTCCCGGTTGAATCCATAACCCCATGACTCTTAACCTCGATCGAGCTGATAACCGAAATTTTTAAACACCGAGAAGAGTTACACTCTTTCTACCATTAAAAAAAAAAATTACACTCCCGCGAGGTTGTAAGATTGGGAAAAGTTTAATATGCTCCAGACCCACCACTTATTCAGTGGTCCCTTTTCCATAAATAAAAAATTTTCTTCCATTTCTACCCTTTTCTTTTTGATTTTTCCCCCTTCGTCTCTTTTTTTTTTCTATTTTGAAAAAGGACCACCATAATCCAAGCTCACTAAATATCTTCTCGTAAGATTGACGCAACAATGGTGATGAGATGATGACGACCTCATGATCGTAGTGGTGTTGATGAAGGAAATTAAGCCACCTTTGCATTAGAAGTCAAAATATGTACATGTACATGTGCATGTTATTGTCCATGTTACTGTTATTATACATGTATGAAAATTTTGGTTGAATGCATGTACGAAAATTTTGGTTAAACGCATGCATGCGTTTAGTAAATAGTGAAATTTTATCTATAAATACAACTTTCATCTATCAATTCTAAAAATCTCGTTCTTAATGAAAATAATTTAAATGAGATGTAATCATTAAAAATAAGTTATAATTTGTTTCATTTAGTGAAATGTTTGTGATCTTTTTCTCCCAAATGAAAGAGCTAGAGCTTTCATGATGGGAGAGAATCAAGGTGGGAAAGCTTGGCAGAGCCCTATACACTTGAATTGGTACAGATTCATTAGGGCCATAATGGAGTTTTCCTTATCAGTAATATGGTTGGTCTACATTGGAAAATTTAATCCTTAATGCAGTTCATAGTAGCCCAACCTAGACCAGGTTACCCCTGTCATGTATTGGGTTATAGGTTATGGTATGGTCTTTGACAATATTGCATTCCATCATTGATATTGGCCCATCTTCAAATTAGTAGTGGAAGAAGCTGACTCAAGGTGACCATTATTCAACCCCAATGGAAACATAGTTTGCAACCTATCTATTCTATTTATTCTGTGCGTATGACATATAATAACCCTTACTAGTAATAGTGGATTTAATATCGAAGAATAATTAGAAGTAAAAGAAATAAAGTCACCTTTGGTGAAAAATGAGTCAAAATGACAGTTAAAGAGTAAAAATGCGGGTAAATAAAGTTACCCGAAAGTAAAAGTAAAATTATAAATATGAGCATAAAAATATTCTAGTCCATTAGGTAAAGTTTGGTAATGAATGGAGGTGTGTAGATAGATAAATCTTTACCCAGTTAAAATAAGTTAACTTTAAAAAAAAACCGTAACCCCTTTAAATGTCTCTTTCCTACGCGTTTTCCTTCGTTCTTTTCCGTCGTTCAGTGGCTGCTCTCACTTGGAAAGGGGCTTAGGGTTTTGCTTTGGTTTTCTTTGATTTCTCTTGCAATATCCAACCAAATCTCATAACCCACTACATGAAATCTATGGTAAACTACCCAATGAAGCTATTCCAACCATCAATGTGAGCTATTGTTGAGTGTGTGAAGAGTTATTCTCCTTTCCCTAATTCGTACACTATTCATCAAGGAGGCAAAAGGAAGCTTTTGAAGGAGATTCTCTTGATGGAAGTCTTCTAGGTCTTGAATAAGTGATTAGAGGTAATTAAACTCTAATCCTATGATTATTTTATTGTGAAAATGGTGTTAAAAAGCATGGGCATGGTTGGGTAGAAAATAAAGTAGTATAAACTTGAAGGTGATGATGGCTTGGTTGTGTATAGGAAGTGTAGTGAAAAAAAAAAAAAGCAAGCATGTTGCATGTGTAAATAAAAGAAAAAAAAAACCCCTTGTGTTTGGTCCCTTGTTGTTCGGCCATGAGAGGGTTTATAGAGGATGATGTGCAAAATTGTTAGTTATGTATTTGGAAGGTGAGGTGTTGTAAAGAGTAGAAAAAATGATGAATTAGCAAAGATGTAAGTTGGAAAAAAAATCCTACAAATACTTGCTCTATGCTTCGAACTATAGGATGTTTAGGGGTATATATTTGTTACATTTTATTTTAATAAAATGTGTTGCATTTTAATATACCAATGGATGAGCTAAGAAGTGAAATGCTTTGACAAATGGTTGAAAAATACCTTGAGTCCCTAAGGGTATGCCCGCGACTTTTAAAGAAAAATAGCATGATTTATGTGGAAAATTCTTAAGTAAATGCTTGATTAAATTAAAGAACGCCAACGGGTGTATAGAGGTCTAGACTTGTGTATTGGCATAGAATTGGCAAAAATATAAAGAAAGGAAAATAAGCGATAAAATGTATGCTTATGAAATAATCATGGTATAGCATCATTTTATTGATGCATTGTAAATTATTCTCTAGGTGTGCCTAGGGATTGAGAAGGATCGGAAATATCTTGAAGCGATAAAAGTAACTTGTTCCACAAGTAAGCGTATTGGTAAAGCTTCAAGAGGTAAGCTCTATGTTTAAGGAGTCTTTTCCTGCTTGAGTGCTCCACCATGGTTAGTGAACTATGGTTGGACTGTATGACTGTGATTTAGATGCTTTGTATAGATGCATTCATATAGAGTTATTTGATAACATGATATGTTTTGCTCTGATATGACTTCTGTAATATGATTTCTGTAACAATCTCTGGCCATTGATTGTATAGTACCCGGACGTCCGCTTTGGGGTCCTCCCTCGGGACTGATGGTGTACGCCTCTGATATGTCTGGTTCCGCTTTGGGGTCCTCCCTCGGGAACACGTGCGTTGATTTCCGCTTGGGGTCCTCCCTTGGGAATGACGGCGCACATCTCTGATATGATATGGATATATGCTCTGTTCTGTTATGATATCTGTTATATGTTGTATTCATATACTTTGTATCTGACTTTCATGCAGGAGTGAGCCAGGGGTATGGAGAATTCTCTATAAACCTGGAGCTTATTGAGATTTGTAATCTCACCCCTCTTTGGGGACACATTTTCAGGTGCCCAGATTCCCGGTGAGTCCTCACTAGGCAGGGACACGACACGTGGCTGAGGCAGTTGACAGATCGGATTTTGAGTGGCTGTAGGCGACTACCTTTTTGGAGTGTTTGATGTATTTTAGTATTTTCGCTTTTGATGGATCATGATATTGATCCTTTATTTTGTATATGGCCTGTATATGTTTTGTACACGTCTGTCGCTTTGATGCATGTACATTTGGGTATTCAGGCACGTTATGTGATGAGGTAGTATTCAGATATGTTTACGTGTTGGATTGCATGCGGTTAGATATAGTGGCACTGAGCCAAGTTATGCATGCGCCCATGGATGGGCATTTGATTATATTTGTATAAACTGTTTATCAGGAAATGCTTCTGTGTGGGATTGAAAAATCCCCAGTTGTCCGATTTATAGAGGAAACTCTGCCCGATTTTCGTTTACGACGAATGAGAATTTAAAAAGAAAAAGAAAAAGTTAGCTCGTATTTTCAGAAGTTAAGTCTTCCGCTGTTTTCTGTTTTATCATATGTATGTTAATTGAACCGGCTCGAGACGGGGATGTTACATGACAAGTCTTGAAGACGTATTCAAATATTGTTTTTACTAACTTTAGGAAAATATTTTAAAAGTTTCATAAGACAAATAAGTAAAAACCTATTATTTATTTTATGAAACGAATATTATCATGTTTGTTAGTAAAAAAGTACATAATGATGATTCTATTTTATGCCTTAATTATTTCATAAAACTAAGGATCATCATTTCTTCTCACAGTTGGGATTGGTGATTCCACACTTTATGTAATAAGATTTAATTCCACACTTTATGCCTAAATTAATTTACTCTCGCTAACATACTTTCATTTATTTTCTAGAATGACAATTATTAGTTTTCATTAAATGTATCTTTTTATAATTTTTTTTATTTTTAAAATACCTTTCATGTATGCAATTGATATTAAATATTTGTGTAAAATTTTAAAAATAATAATTATGTAAATATGTAATTAAATTATGACTTATATTATTTTAAAACTGTTAGCGCTCAATTTGTGCAGTCTATTTTTTTTTTTAAATCCTTTCCACCCACTTTCTAATCTAAACTTTAAATCAAAACTCACACGTCTACTTATAATGGGATACCATAGTGAAAGCGACTTCTATCAAATCCAAAAGAAAATGTACTGTTGATCCTCATTAAATATTGTGAAAGAAAAAATATATCTATCATTTCACTCTTAATGTCTCGGTTGAAAAGAATTGAGATCTCACATATTCTCTTTTTCCTTTTTTTTGCGATGTTTCCCACTGGCTCACTGCACAAAGCATTTGTCACACAGTATGGCACACATGACAGGAACTGTACCTTGCAGTTGCAGATAACTTTTACCTCCACTCCACTGCTCTACAGTAAGTCTACATCCACATTCCACATTTTCATCGCACTGAAACCCACGCTTTTCTACCTGTAATTATGGAATAATTTGTTAAACGGTGGTAGAGTAAAATCTGTATTTTTGATTATGGTAATATGAATAAAGGCAATATTACTTTTATGCAATAAGAATTTTTTTTATCTTATGTCCATATATTGATACTTGTGTCAATTAATTTTTTTTTTCTATTGGGCCCCACTTTAAATTGAGTGTGTAGGAGATAACAAAATTTTTATGTGACATGAGACTACAATTACCCTATGAATAAAACACAAAATTGCATGCAATCACAAAAAATCAAGATGTAAAATGTAGCGCATAAAATTTTTAAAAAATCAAACTCAAGCCCATTATTCAATAATGTGTCCTTAAAATAATTTTGCTCTCGAACGGTATTTAAGGTTCGTGGACAAATACTTCCTAAGATAGAATAAGTTACCTCTGTTTCAACGGTGATATTACTAAAAGATACAGCACTGGCGGACACAACAAATGCTGACTAATCGTAGACAAAGGCAATATGTGGGGATTAAGTTTGGCAGAGTTTTGAAAAGGAGTCAGAAAATCTTAGTTATTATTGTTTACAGGCCACTGATATTTATAGAGATGAATGATCGCATGACGAAAAAGCATGACTGTTCAGAAATGAATAGGTGCGACTGTTCGCTTGCAAAGAGGCACGACTCTTTGCAAGTGAAAAGACGCGACTATTCACAAGCGAAGAAACGCGACTATTTGAAACGAAAAAACACGACTCTTCCAACTTTTTATTTATAACATATTCATACAACATAATTTGTATGCGAACAACTTAATTTATAATTTATAATTCGATTTTCATAGTCTAAATATAATTGGTTTTACTCTTTTCCTGGCTTTCGATTCATTTGATGTAAAATGAGGAAGTTTTGTTGAGTGATTCAACTCCCAAAGATTTTAGATGCGGAGAGGGTTGTTTCGTTTAAGTTGGGGAAGATGTGCAATTTGTGTATGGGTAAATGTGCATTTGTTATGTGGTGCATTGCGAATTGCGCGCTTGTATATCTTGAAGTCTGGCATTTAATAGTTTTTTCTTCTCAAGCTAAGCATGCGAAAACAGTGAACGATAACGGAACGATTGGTAGAAGAAAAAATTTTGAATTCCCGAAAAATTGACATTGGTAATTTTATTTATTCATATTTGGTATAAGGATTGTTAAAATTTTTCCAATAAAATCAGATTCCGAGAAAAAAAAAATTGTGAAGCTTTTTGAAACAAAATGCTATCCAAAAATGCCATGAGGAGGGTGATATTCTTGGATTTCCATGATATGAAAAAATTCAACACAATTTTTTGGTAACATTCCTAAGTGACTGAGCTCTTGTAGAAAACTCTTCATCCACACTACTTTAGTTGCAGCAATGTACTCGACCTCAGTAGTTGATAGAGCGACACACTTCTGGAGTTTGGGCTGCCAAGCGATTGTTCTCCTTGCAAAGGTAGTCAGGTAACCTGTGGTTGACTTCCTCCAGTCATCATTTCCACCAAGATCGATATCCGAGTAAGTTCTAACTTGGGTTTTCCTCTTTCAAAGCACAAACACATGTTAATTTTGCCTTTGAGATATCTAAATATCCATCTAATGGTGTCCTAATGCTCTCTATTCCGGTTCGATAGAAACCATCTTACTAGGCCAACTGCATAAGTAAGGTCGGACCTTGTGCATATCATGGTAAACATGAGGCTCCCTATAGCTAATTGATATGAGACATTTGACATCTCGTCTCTTTCTTCATTACTGGTTGAACTTTGCTTGAGACCTAGCTTAAAGTGTCCAACTAGAGGAGTACTTACCGTCTTGGATTAACCTATGTTGAATCTCTTTAGGATTTTCTCTATGTACTTCTCTTGAGATATCCAAAGCAGCTTCTTTGGGCAATCTCAAACAATCTTCATCCCAAGTATCTGTCTTGTTGGGCCGAAATCTTTCATAGTAAACGACTTGTTCAAGGCTTTCTTGAAGGCATTAACCTTCCTCATATCTTTTCCTATTATCAGCATGTCATCTATATAAAGCAAAAGAATGATGAAGTCGGCATTGTCATGCCTCTTGATAATCACACAATGGTCCGCTTGAGTTTTCCTAAAGTTGTGTTGAGTCATAAAGGACTTAAATTTTTTGTACCATTTCTTAGTGTAATGCCCCGTTTGCAGCCGATTAATTAACATTCATATGATAATATTCGCAACATACTTTATAAACTAAATACGGAAGCTAACTGGTTAACTTTTTCTTTTTCCTTTTGTATTGCAAACTTTACACATCATTAGTCAAACTAAAATGGATGGCATTTCGTATGTATTTTGGACCTCTTGGATATTATCCATCATTAAACTTTTACCTGATTAACATGTCAAATACACCTTAAGCCAAACACAACATTGATAAACATAGTTCCCAGCTATCCATGGCTAAGGCTATCTAATGATCACACTGTCTCAAAATAATGTCCATGATGCTACTTATATAATTACATCAAATAAACAAAAGAGATGCAATTAAATAAGTAATATAGACATGAGCATGCATCACTAACAACATATATAGACTATCCTCAACTCCGTTACTTGAAATGGTAATCCCCATAACACGGGGTGAGATAATATAATTACCTCAGTAAGCTAGGGACCCTTGGAAGGCTCCTCCACCACTAATGTAACACCCCGTGTGTACCTGGTGTATTAAACATATAAATGGTAATAAGCGCAGCTCAATAAATGCGGAAGTTAAATTTTTTCAATTATGAAACTTATCATATTAACCAAGTGGATTTACTTATTCTTTTTCAAAAAATGTCTGTATGTAAATTGCAATAAATAACTACACTGAATAACCTCATAGCATAATTAAGTATCAAGTCATGGAACTACAACTCATAGACCAGACAAATCCTGATACAATAGTACAACTCAAGTCTAAAATAAACATAGCTTATACCAATGTGGCATGGACAACCCCCTCTCACCAAATAAACAACATAGTCAACTAATGTCTCAAATACAATAGCCATATAGAAATAACGAGGCAGAAACATATCCAAACACGATAATATATAAGCATGCATAATATCAGCTCAACTCCGGCCTACTGCCTCTAGAGGTCTCAGCCTCAGGAACACCTATACCTGAAAATGTGCCCCACACGGGGTGAGATCTCAAAAAAGAAACCTCGGTAAGATAAGGGGTCTTCAAGGATCTCTCCACCCTAAGTTCACTTACATGTGCAATATAAGTTCAAAAATGATAACAATTGTAAAATGAAAAAAATCTGTGCAATGCATCATATGTCCATGTCATGTGTGTATGCACCCTATTGGCCAGAGAATAAAAGGTAGGGATTATGTATTTCTACAACCCACAGTACAAGGAGTCCACCATGTACTTCACACATGGGTTTACCATCTTGCATGTGGCCTGACATGCTCAGGGGTTACCGTCTCGTGTGAATACCCCACATACATATACATATGGCAAATGCACTAAAAACATAATCCAGCTCAACAATATACCTATATCCAACATTCATCATATAAACATAGACATTTTCATAAAAACACATCATGCATATAACCACCCCTCCATGAGGTATGGTGGAACTATCCATGGGTAAA